TTGTCTTTATTGATTTTACTATATGGAATCTACAGCAGGAACTGAAGTCTACAGTGACCAATTTGCACTTTGTGCATCCACCCGCACTATTGTTTATCTTGACTTTTAAGAAATTTTAAAATGTTCTCTCCTTGCACTGCCAGGTGAGACTCTAAAGTGAACCTGTCAGACAATGTAAGTGCTTTAAAGAAAATCTACTGTATAAGAGCACACACCATAAAATGCCTGGCTTTACTTTTGTTAGCAAAAAGATTTTAGTTTTTACCATTTTTTTTTTTTTGCTAGGGACCTGGTTTTTATGAAGTTAGAGCTCAAACCTCCTCCCATCCAATCTGCATGCCTACGGGGACCCAGGTGCAAAGCAAAGGCTCTCGCCCAACTTGTCAGTCCATGATGCTAAAACACCGGCACATGGAACTTAGCCCCATCAGCTGCCATAGCACTGTTCAGTGGCAGTGCCCTTACTGGCTACTAGCACAATCTCAGTGGACAGGTATGTGGCAGTTGGTGGGGCTTAGTACTGGAATCAGGGAAGTTAGGCCTCAAGTAACAAAGGGAAACTAGTTTCAGAGAATGCATGGACAAAAGTAATGGAAGACAACTTGTAGTGTCTACCTGTTAGACAGAACTTTACCTTTTAAAATTAGAAAATGGGCAACTGGTTTACTTTAAGGCCCCACTTAACATGGAGATGGGGCATTAACTGAGCATCTAAACTCTTGTTTCCAAAGGATCAGAAGACCTATCAAATGGTTCAATTATCATTTTATTTCTTAAATCAAATAACCTCTAGTATAGTGGATAATGAGCAGTTGATAGACAATTAAGGACGAAATACAAGGCTGAAAATATGTTTCACAGTGATGTGGTAGTTAAAAGATATCTTTTATGAGGCTGCTTAATTTGGTGTTAAATCATTAGGAAGAAAAGCCCAACACAGTCTGATATTGTAGTCTTTTGATGCCAGTTGCAGTAAGTTTAGGAATTGTATAAAATAAGGGGACTTATTAGTTAATATGTATCAGCTAAAACAATAGCAAACTATGACTATGTAACTTTTACTATAATTTCGGGGGGATTGGGGATCTGATTTACAGAAACACAAACTTATTACACAACCATCACCTGCAGAAAAATAATTTTGTCTGTGATCTCAAATGAAACACTGTAGCACAACACACCGTCACAGCTGCAATGCAATCTTTATGGACTCAAGTAAGCAGATCTGGGCACTTGAGGTCTCAGGTTTTCCAGCATGTACTGTAAGAACTAGGGTTTAGATTTTCATCTATTTATACAGAAAACAGGTGTAGCATCCATGATGGTAAGAGATGGTAAAGATGCAGAGGTGGGCAGCACCAGAAACTATGGGCACAATTTTACTTCTGGAGTCTCTGAGAGAAATTACTATAAACATGTAGGCAAAGAAACAGGGCCCTTGGTCAGTCCAGCCTGTCCACAGCTAATATTTAGGCTGAACTCCAGGCGGAACAAAAATGCCCCATGTACAAAAAAAGCATCTTCCCTTAGTAGACTTTGCCCTTCATTTTCCTCAGATTGAAAAAATGTCTCTGCCCACTAGTGTCAGTGAAATTATTTCCAATTTACATGGCAGGTCTCCACTGCCTGCGCTCTTTGAACGGATAACTGGCTGTGCCATATCCAATCAGTAATTTCAGGCTTGCAGCACTAATGTCTAAATCCACAAGCAAAAATGTAACTAACAACGAACACTATACTCATCAGTTAAATCTTAAAAATACATTAAAGTATCATAACTATTAACAAAAATGTAACTTATTTGTATATCACTCAGCAGTGGATCCTCAAATCATCTCTCAATTGATGCTGACACTGTCCTTCCTTCTGGAGGGTGACTACTTTTGTTCCCCATGGTCCTGTGTGTGTTGTAAAGTAGCAACAGATCCAAGCTCACTCCCGTGATAGTCTATTATCTCACTTTAGTTTAGTTAACTAGTTTGTATTGAAGTTATAGTTTAACATGGGAGCGAGCTGGGAGCAGTGGCTAGACATGTAAGCTGCGGCAAAATTTGGTTCGGTTTGTATATTTTGTTATTTCGGAATTCGGATCCGAAATTCAATTCGGTGTGGGTTTTGGATTCAGACGAAATCCGAATTTTGGTTAGTTTCGGATGGGTTTACGAATATTCATTGCAAATACCACAGAAAACCATATACAGATATTAATACTAAAGCTGAATCTCCTAGACCAAAATGACATTAAGAATCCAAATTTCTGAATTGCATTCGGGAACTCCCGAATGCCATTCGGGCCTGGGAGCCATATATATATATTACTAAAGTTGAGGCTCCCAGACCCAAATGCCATTCGGTTCTAGGAGCCTCAGCTTTAGTAATATACAGTATGTATATGGCTCCCAGATCCAAATGGCATTCGGGAGCTCCCGAATGCAATTCGGAAATTCGGATCCCGAATGCCATTCGGGTCTGTGAGTCATATACACATATTACTAAAGCTAAGGCTCCCAGACCCGAATGGCATTCTGGAGCTCCCGAATGCAATTTGGAAATTCGGATCCCAAATGTCATTCGGGTCTAGGAGCCTCAGCTTTAGTATTATATGTACTGTGTATACTGTATGTGGCTCCCATGTTGCCTTAACAAAAATTCGTGTTCAGACCCATTCGGATGCATTAAACCGAAAAACACATCTAATTAGCCAGAAAAGTCACATGTCCGATTCAGTTTCGTTCTTGAATGAAATTCAGATGGGATCTGAAATCTGGAAACAGAACTTTGGATTAGGACACATTCGGATGCATTGGGATTCAGAAATTCGTATGTGCCCGAATGTCCGAATTTCTGAAAATTTGCCCGAATTTATTACAGGCCTACAACAGATAACACCAAATTTCCATGCAAAACAATGTACCGCTTTTGGTACAAAATTCCTGACATAATCATACCGCCAGGGAGGTTAAGATGGACACAAATCGCACATGTCTAGCTGTGGCTACTTTACAACACACAAGGACCATGGGGAAAAAAAAGTAGCCACCTTCAGGAAGTACAGTGTCAGCACCAATTCAGAGCTGATTAGAGCATCTACAGCTGAGTGATACACAAAGGTACTTGAATGCATTTTTAAGGTTTAACTCCTAAGTTTAGGTTCACTTTAAATGTGGTGGCTGCATTAGTTTACGCTTTTTTAAATGTTATTTTACTTGGTGATCCAGCCACTAAGTCTGTTATTTTTCAACTTCCTTTAACAGACCAAGCTGCTCATCAAAAGTGACAACTGGGGTGTTGAGACAAACTATTTAACACTGACAGGGGTGCCTAAAATGGTTAGCTTTTCATTCACTTATGTAAAACCTTTCTACTAAAAGAAAACACAAACTGTTGCTGTTACTGCTTAAGCTGGCCATAGAACTGAACGAAAGCTAAATGAAAAAAAAAAATAGAACAGATTCCTCCATCAACTCTATATGAGCGTTGATCGAGGAATTCTGACAGCGGCCGCTGTCAGAGTACCCGAACAGAGGCAGGAGCTCATTGGTTGCCGGTTCTGTTCGTTCGAAGATTTTCCAACCAGGTTCTTTGATCAGCTGATCAAGGGATGCAAGCCGAAAGGGTGCCGACAGTGTTAGACATCTAACACTACCCTCTCCACAGGGGGACAATGCTGCTATCCAAAAATGTGACTCCATTGCTTCTCCATAGAGTGGAGCCACCCAAAGACAAGAAGGATGTCACGGGCTTGATCACCAGGTCAAAATACAGGAAACAAAGCCTAAAAAAAAGGAAAATGAATGCAGCCATCACAACTATGGATTGGAAAGCTGCAATATATTACATTTTTGTTTTAGGTGTAGATATTTATTAAGTCAGTGCTGCCTCTGGAGGGTAGAGATGTTGTTCTGCTCATCTCTCCCATTTTTTTCCACCTATAGATCTTGATGGCCAGGGTAATCAATTTATCTGGTAATTGCCTATCACTGCTTGGAGCTCTGTTGGAAGTGATGCGCGACATTATCTTTGGTAATACACATTATTTTTTCTGGTAATAAAAATCAATTTGTTTGGTAAATTAATTTTAAAACAAAATACATAAAGTGCATGGACTGAGATTGGGGACAGGTAGGATTCAGTGCATCGTGATTTCGGAGTTCCTCTTTGATTTCATTTCCCTTCCTCACCACACCCTGTTCACCCCATGGAGTCCCCTACAGATTTCTGTTCTGGATGAAAGCTTACACAGAGTTAAAGACCCTCCCCATACTGTTACATGACAGCATTCAGGGGTGGTAACTGTCTGCTCAGACACCCAGCACTACATCATGGCATCATGGAAAAAAGGGGAGAATGTGACATAGCCCCTCATTGATGGAAGTAACAGTTATTTCACAGGGCTCTGGTGGGCGAAAGGGAGTGCAGAGAAGGTAAGTATCAGCAACATAGAGGGTGGGTTATCCAGCAAACTAGTACAATTTAATTTGCAAATATGCAAAAAGTAAATTTATCTCTCCACCCATAACTAAAAGTATATTTTTACGTGGACCGGCCTTCTAGGAAAATTAGTGAATGGTTATTATTACATAGTTACGCACAAAAAATGTCTTTAATGTTTTGGCAAGCATTCACATCCCTTTCAAGAACACCATGTAATCAGTTAACAGATACTAACAGACAGGATAAAATTGTGTCTGTCTTGGAACTGCTCAAAGCACCTAGTTGTCCTATAAGTTCTCAGAATTGCCTCTCTCCCACTGACCACCAGAGCAAAATACAAAGCTCCTTCTCCCCAGCTGTCAATCACACTAATTAAACAGTAAGTAAAAATAAAACATTTGCCAGCTCACTTTACTACAAGTGGAAACTTTCATTAGCAGGCTGCTGATGGGTCCAGGCACTGGTGGAGGCACTTACTTCGAAGTTAGGAGAGAGATTTCACTTTTCCAAAGTTAAAGACAGGAGGAGCCCTGACAACGACTGACGGTTTAGTCAGTGTAAATGCAGACTAAAAATAGGAACACATTGCTTGCATGGAATACAGACTGCTCCATCTCCCAGCTCTAATTCACATCAAAAGAAAAAAGTTGAGGACGTGACAAAAGAAAAAAGATGGAATTAAAATAATCCTGGCACTAAGGACCATTCATCATGAGAAGTCTAAATTTCTATTACCTCTTGCTGTACTTGACTTACCTGAACCCTGTCTGCTCCACCGATGCCTGCGAGATTTGTAACTGCTCTGGAGACAGTCTGCGGTGCCCAGCACACACCTCCTATCACAGATCCCCCGATATAAAACTGTAAGTATCTACTCTCTGAATGGTCTGCCTTGCACTGATGTGTGTTTGCTTTGCCTATTCAAATAAAAGTTATTTCACTTTAACCTTCTCTGATGTGATCCTAGTTATGTCTCTTTTATAGTATTGTCGATGCTCTGTATTTCAAACATACTATAGGTAGGGGATAAAAAAGATGTATAAATGTAAAGAACTTCATTATGACATGATTACTTATCAACTTTTAAAGCACCAATGTGTTCTGATGGGCTGCACATTGATTATTTCAAGTATATCAGTCTTAAGTTGATAAGTACAAAAAGTATCATTTGTGTAGGTGATAATGTTTACTGCAAATGATTCTTATTTAATATTAAACTACATGTATTTACACATTCAACGTACATAGGCGTATTTAGAGGATTTGTTGTGCGTTGCTTGATCAACTATTAAAGTGTAATTACTTAAATCGTTTTTTTATTTTTTTCCAAGTAGTAACACTGCACAAACACTGCACAGTAAATATGTATATATATATATATAGATAGATAGACAGATTGGTATAATACATTATCATGTGCTGATAAGGCTCACACACAATGCTGAGATGCTGTTTGTAATATAACTGGTTACCAACCTAGTGAGGTACATAGGAAGTGCCTAAGGGCAAGAATATATGGGGTAACAAAAACCTACAAATGAAGTAGACCAAGCTAAAGTAAATCTGTACTTTGTCCACAGTAGGCAAAGTAACAGGTGTACTTTACAGCAGCAGAGTAATCATACTGTACTGATGACTGCAGCACTATCCTACTCCTTCAACTGTCACCGAAGCCAGTGAACATACCCCTTGGTATGGAACAACGTGTGACACTCTTGCCTGCCCCTTACAAAAGAGCACTAGCTGGCTAGGAGGCCATTTAGTTGGCCCAAGAGCTGTCATATAATGGTATGTGAGGAGGGTGCATAGTTCATTGTAAATTTTTAATTTCTATGTCAAAACTTACACAGGTGCCTCTTGGTGCCTCTTACATAGGATCAGTGTAGTGGTAAAGCACGAAGACGATAAGTACAGAATGCTTACTCTGCTTGCTATAGAATTAATCTGTTACTTTGGTTGCTATGGGCTAAGCCCATATCTAATTTGAAGTATATTTTATCCCTAACAAAGAATTTCCCTTGTTAGCTCCCTTTTGGTCTGTTATACTGTATATACCCTTGAAAGTGTTTTGTTATATCTTGTTGAGAGGAGGGGGAGTTGTACAGTCCTAAAACACATCCTGTCCTAGGGTGACAACACTCCTCCACCATGGTATAATGCATGAAAGTTGTATGACTTATTTATTTTTTGTTATTGGGTTTAGATGACTTGAAGTGTCAAATTTGAAAAAAACCCTCTATATGTTTATGTGTTTCTATTCAAATGGCATACTGAAAAAAAAAATAATATTTAATATTTGTTACCCTTTAGCTGTTTTGTTGCAGCGGGGAACATGCCTAATTGTAGATTTTTCTCAGCACCTCCATAGTGATCTGTCCTTATAAAAAGACTTAGGACTGAAATTTGAGTATTGTGTGTCTCTCATTCACTTCATTAAAATACAATGCACAAGCCACGGTTGTAATCCTTTAACCCTTTACTCCTCACAGCCCCTCCTTACATTACAAAAAAGGAAAAACAAGTAGAAATGTTAACCCACGGCAGAGAGCCGTGACAGGATCGAGAGGTGAGCGAACGCCAGTATGTGTTCGCTCACCTCCCGATCTACTGAGCCGACCTGTGACAGTCTAATTGTCACAGGTCGGCTAGAACTATGAGGTGAGTGAAAAGCACTCACTTCATAATTCTCCTTTAAGTTAAAGCAGAAAAAAACGGAAATACTATTGCATCAGATTTTATCTGTAATTCCTAATACATGCTAACTTCTAATACAAGGAGATTCTTGGAAAGCCTTTACAGCTCATCAGATTAAAATTAACTGTCCATGATAGTCCTGGAATGTATGCTCTTACTCTGGTGTGCATTGTAAAACCTAATACTGTATGTGTTTGACGCAATCATTGTCTGTGTACATGTGGGTGGGAGTGGGCGTTTAAAGTTTTTTGGGGTTTTTACATTTATTTTATTGAACTTTTATATTTTAAAATAGTTTTTTTTTTAACTTAACAATACTGATATCACAAAGGGGTGATATCACCTTGTGATAGTATTTAGCAGGTGACAGATTCTCTTTAAGGTGACAAAAGGGGTCACCTCTACACTCTGTTAAAGCTGAGCGCTTCTGGGTTCATGTTTCAAAGGGGAGTTCAGAGAATAATTGTTCACAGGTCTCCTGCCACTCTCCATCCTAATGGCTGCCACGAATGGCCCGGGCATCCTTACTGTGAAAAGTTGCACTGCTGGCCCACCCCCCTCAGCTCTCTCCACCATTCACAAATCTCCTTTTACTATGATCCCACAATTCATTAATTTCTGTGAATGGTTATAGCCACCTGATTCTCCGAGCTGGCTTGCTCTTAGACCGGTCCTTCCAACCTTGCTTCCCCTCCACTGCAGCAGTCCAAGGTTTCTAAGTCATCATATTCTATATACAATGTAAAGGATATGAGAGACATGCCATCACTGCAGCATAGGAGGAGACAAGTATGAGGGAGTGCGGTCACAGCCAGCTGACTTTGAGGATCAGGTGATTATTACTTTGTTATTGTCCTCCCTAGACCAAAACGACCAGTTAACCCTTGCAGTGTGGATGTAGCCCCACTGCAAGGGTTAATAACATTTCTTCTTGAATGCATTTTACTACTATCTACAGTATTTTTTGTAGATTGATTGTCTCCTGCCTATTTGACATGTTTGAGGAAGTGAAAGGAAATCTCACTAGTCAGTGGCGGACCTAGGGAACAAAGGGTCCCCCCCAAAAAAACACAGACCCCCCCAACCCACATCCCCTGTAGCAACCACAAAAAAGTGGTGCTTTATAGAGGGTCCCATTCTGCATTGCTGCAATGCAGACAAATACCAGCTGTACTTTATACAGCATGTCCATCAGTTGGGCTACAAAAAATGTGTGTCCATCTCAGTGTGTGTGTCCATCTCAGACAGGCGGCTGTTTGCTGGGTCCTCACGGCCGAGGCCCAGGGCTGCCCCCTGAAGTGCCTGCCGGATACTCCCTCCTCAGTATCCGGCGGGCCCCCTCATCTCTGCGCCGGGAGTGTCGGATCATCCG